GCAAGAGTTGCTAGTCGTTTTTTCTTTTTCCTGGTGCCTGTCGGTTAGGTGCGAGCTCCCATCCCCTCGGAGCTGAATGCAGCTCTTCATTTGTTCTTTTTCCCAGCAGCGACGGCGTGCAGCCTCTTAGCGTAAGGGGTAAGCCGCATGGTATCGCTTACAAGGAACTGATCTAGGCCCGCATCCTGACAGACATGGCGCATATTGTATGTAGCCTTGGTACGGCTGTTGGTTGGCGCCCGCATTCTTGGTGTTTCTTAAGGCGAGACAGCAAGATTGGACGGATTTGCCGAAACCCTCGGAATATTTGCGCTTGAGATGGATGCATGTCCATCTGTCCATATCGATCATGAATGTACGACGTATGAAGTTTGAAATGAATAGCATTGCGGCATAATCAGCTGTCACAGGTCTGTAGATACCTGCCAGCCGTTTCAAGAAGACCGCGACCTGTCGTACAGCTGGCAAAACAAAGTCCATGTGCGCTGGCAGCGTAAGCCTCAGTGGTGTTTCAATACATGTAAGTGACGACTGACTCCAGACTGGCAAGCCCATAGGCATTGCACTATGTTTGAAGGCTTATTGGAAAGGTCGTCCAAGAAGAGAAGAACAAACACAAAGATCTAGAGTAGTGTCCATGGCATCTCGTTTGCGACGTGTCCACCAGTGGCGCACCCTGCACGGGTGCACGCTATGCAGCAGAAGAAAGGAACGGCCTAGTCCATCAATGTACCAATATATGTATAGGGCCGTGTATGAGAATACGGACGTGTAAGCGACCGGAATTTGTTCTCCGGGAGGTAGCGTGTGAAAAGACCGTTGGTGCATTATCTACAAGGGGGGTGGATGTTGTATGTAAGGACACATGCAGAGCACCAAGGAGTTTATAATAAGGCAAACCACGCGGGTAAGCGATGGACCGAGGTCCCGATGCGGGTTAGTAGACGGGCAAACCTCCCTGGAGCCCTGTTTGCCAGAGGTCGCTCATCGTCAGCAGCTGTTCCCAGCAAGGAGCCCAATGGGGACGGGCGTGTTTGCTCGCAACGCAGACAAGCGTAGTCGCGTCACGCAAGAAGCGACAACGGCGAGGATATGCAGGTGAGGGAGACACTGGGGCGATTGCGAATGCCCAGGGCTGGCAAAATCTCCACTTGGTGCTCTGAAAAAAAACCATTAACGCGACTAGGCCAGTCGCCGCGAACCGTCGCTTGGCTCGGCCCACCTTATTTCGATGCGGTCGCCCATCCGGCAAGGCCGCGAAAGTCTTGACAAGATTCCATTTGCAATCGGTCAATTGCGCCTTGAGGCTGCTGTGGCTGCCGTGATAACAGTGATTCGTCCCAGATAGCAGAGGCGAAGTCCAGCTGTAGGGAGAGGTCACTCAGACAGCGCTCTCGGCCGCCTCCGCATCCCCCCTCCTCCAGAGATACGGATCGACTGTCGTGGCGGTCCTAGCAAAAGCATACCAATGCGCTTAAGTGTATTGGTTGCAACAGGCGAGGTGTCATGCCGCACATTCACTACAGTACGTTTCCCCAGCCTACAGTAGTACCCAGCACCGGCCGGCCGCCTCCTTCACGCGCACGAATCCGAGACACCCTAGCTTACCGTAATGTGGGCTCGCGTGGACTGTCAGGCTATACCTCCTCGAGCAAAGCCTGATCGTCCTGATATCTGCCATTGGCTCTTTGTGGGACGACGAACGCGACAGGGTTTGGGCCTCGCCGCCTGCCTTATCTTTTTGGTGCGGCAGCATGCTAAATGCGCTTCACGTCCTGTAATACGCATTCACTTGACTTAAAAAGCTCTCTTTGCCGGCGCAAACCCACAGGGCAGAGCTCGACGTCGATCCCTCTCGCAGCTTGGTCCACTTTACGGCAACTGGCACCGCTGCAACACACTCTCTCTCACTCTCTCTCACTCACTCGCACACTCAACCTCCAAAATCTCCATCGCCACCCCACGGCATCGCTGAAATTTCTGCACCATGTCCGGCTTGATCCACAAGATCAATGCCGCCGTCGCGAGCTCCCTCGTCGGCAGGTACTTTCGCCTTGAAGGCTCCGGTCATGTGTGTACATCGCCAAAGTGTATCATCAAAACATGCACTGACCAGTTCACAGCCCAAGGAGCGCAAAGGCAGCTGCTTCACCACCGAGTTCCGCGCAGGCCTCGCCACCTTTTTCGCAATGGCCTACATCATCTCTGTAAACTGTATGTCAATTGCGCAATGCCATTGACCCTCGTCATCTGATGAACGTGGACAGCATCGATCGTGTCAGACAGCGGTGGTACATGCGTTTGTCCTGGACTCCCCGACGACCCCGTCTGTGACACCAACGCCGAGTATGCGCTGTGCGTCCAGGAAATCAAACGCGATCTCGTCACTGCCACAGCTGCCATTTCCGCTTTGACATCCTTCTGCATGGGTCTGTTCGCTAACATGCCAATTGCACTCGCCCCTGGAATGGGATTGAACGCCTACTTTGCCTACACTGTTGTCGGCTTCCATGGTACAGGTATGTCACACTGCACCTGATTCCATCGACCTCTCCGTGTCATGGACGTACCCGATGTCTACATAGGACTCTGCTGATTTCTGTAAAAGGCATGGTTCCGTACGAGGTTGCACTCACTGCCGTCTTTGTCGAAGGTTTCGTCTTTGTAGGCCTTACCATTCTTGGTATCCGTCAGTGGCTCGCAAGGTACGTCATCTCAATTAGCTGTGTTCAGGTGTCCCTGCTTTTATTTAGAGTTGTACTGTGTGGCTGAATGCAGCACGCTGTGCGACCCAGTCTGACACTTGAAGCTACTCAATCTGCATACGTAAGCTAACCATATACCCAGGGCTATTCCCGCAAGTATCAAGCTCGCTACTGGTGTCGGTATCGGACTCTATCTTACCATCATCGGCCTCGCCTACTCTGCTGGTATCGGTCTCATCACTGGCGCTCAATCCACTCCTCTTGAGCTGGGTGGTTGTGTTCCCTCGGCGCAAGTCGATGGCGTTTGCCCGGGTGGTGCTAAGATGAGGAACCCAACCATGTGGATCGGAATCTTTTGCGGCGGTATCCTAACCGTCATGCTGATGCTCTACCGTGTTAAGGGTGCCATTATCATTGGCATCATGCTTGTGTCGATTATCTCCTGGCCCCGTAGCACTGATGTTACCTACTTCCCGCACACCCAGACTGGTGACTCCGCTTTCAACTTCTTCAAGCAGGTTGTTACGTTCCACCCGATTCGCAAGATTCTAGCGGTGCAAGAATGGGATGTTTCGGCACACGCTGGTCAATGGGGTCTTGCTTTCATCACCTTCCTCTATGTCGACATTCTCGACTGTAAGCTACACACTGTCCATATTTTTTGAGATCTATACTAACATGTTCAGGCACTGGTACTCTCTACTCCATGGCCCGTTTCTGCGGTGCTATTGATGAGCGCACTCAGGATTTCGAGAACTCTTCCATTGCCTACTCTGTAGATGCGATCGGTATCTCCATTGGCTCGCTTATGGGCTGCCCTCCCGTCACTGCGTACATCGAGTCTGGTGCTGGTATTTCTGAGGGAGGCAAGACTGGTCTTACTGCCATGTTTACCGGGCTCTGCTTCTTCATCTCCATCTTCTTTGCTCCTATTTTCGCCTCTATCCCGCCATGGGCTACTGGCTGTACGTTGGTCATTGTCGGTTCCCTCATGGCTACCTCGGCCAAGGACATCAACTGGCGCTACCTGGGCGATTCCATCCCGGCTTTCCTCACCATCGCAGTTATGCCCTTCACATACTCGATTGCCTATGGCCTGATTGCTGGTATCTGCTCCTACATTCTGATCAACACTCTGGTCTGGCTGCTCGAACTCGCGTCTGGCGGCCGTATCGTTCCACCCAACAAGGACGAGAAGGAGCACTGGACATACCGCCTCGAGGGCGGCTTCTTCCCACCCTGGGTGCAGAGGCTTAAGAGCGGAAAGATGGATTTTTGGAAGTCTAGCCCTCAGACTGAGGGTGTTGCGGAGACTCGCAGCGGCGGTAGCTCTACTCACGGCGATAAAGAGTTTGTCAGTGATAAGCAGGCCTAGTTAGTTGTTCCATTGATTTTTTTTCTTAGCGCGAGGACTGCTTTTGCATAGCTGAATTCAGTGCAGCAGTACCTAAATTAGTTTTTTTTTATAGCGTCACTGACGCCGGTCTTCGAACGAGAGGAAGCTATACGGTATCCTCGGAGGCCGATGAGTAATCTTGAATTATACCCTTGTTTGTATCTGAGATGGAGTTGGTTTTTGTTTTTATTGAATATACTTACAATTGGTGTATCCACGTGCCACCTCGAGATAATCGTCAAAGGTCCATGTATCAGCGCACAAGAGTGATGTCTGGGTACCTGACGTTACACAGATGTCATGTCAAAAGACAAGCCACACCCATCGGCCATGTCGGAGCAATGGACATGGACTGGGCCTGGATCGGAGCGGCGGTTCGCTTCGCACCGACGCAGGGTAAAAAGGCCGAGGCATGTGCATCTGATCACCCCTCCATCTGCTAGTGACATCGGGACATCCGAACAGCGGTTCCGCAGACAATCACAACATAATCCTACTGATCACCCACCTGTCATCTTTCTGCGACCTGAAAATCGGCACAACCCTAACATCCGAACTATTTGCGTCTTCCTATACTATAAAACTTTTCGTTGCATTCAGCCCCTCGCCACGCCCGCCCACTTGCACATAGAAAAGATTTGGGGCTCCGAGACTACGCGGAATTCCGGTCGCTTACGAGATTGTTTTCTAAGCACGTACATTGGCAACCGCCAGGGAAGAGGCCTGTGAAAACAGCCATACGGGCCGAGCGATAACCGCGGTAATCTTGTCGCGTCATAACATATACTTTTCACCAGAGGAGTTTGAATACACATCATACACGCCAGACAAAGTAAAGCGCAGGAAGAAACGAAGAAAGAAGAGAAGAGACGAAGGGAAAAAAAGTTACACTTGAAAGTATGACTGCAGAGCTGGAGAACGGGCTGCCCGCCAACGGCACAAATGGCGTCAACGGCAAGGCGACAGAAACGATCAATTCCACACCCTCACACCCAGCATTCGACTCGATACCAGATGTGATACAAGCATTCGGTATTTCTACTTTCTCCCCAAAGAAACCCACCTACTAACCCGCCTCTCCACAGCAAACGACGAGTTCGTAATCGTCCTCGATTCGCCCTCGCGTGAAAACGAAGGCGACCTCATCATTGCGGCCTCGGCCCTCACCCCGTCCAAAGCCTCGTTCATGATCCGCTACAGCTCAGGCTACATCTGCGCGCCGCTCCCTGTCTCGCGCGCCGCAGCCCTGCACCTCCCGCAAATGGTCGCCGACAACGCAGACCCCAACCGCACCGCCTACGCCGTCAGCATCGACGCCGCAGACCCCTCCGTCACAACCGGTATCTCGGCGCACGACCGCAGCCTCACCTGCCGCATGCTTGCCGACCCCAGCGCAAAAGCAAGCCATTTTCGCCGCCCCGGCCATATCTTGCCGCTCCAGGCTCGCGACGGCGGTGTCAGGGAGCGCATGGGACATACCGAGGCCGCTGTCGATTTGTGTCGTCTTGCGGGCAAAGAGCCCGTCGGTGTCATTTGCGAGCTCATCACGGATGGCGAGGAGGTGCCGGGCAAACCTGAGTTGCAGAATGGCGGTATGATGAGGAGGGATGAGTGTTTGGAGTTTGGCAAGAAGTGGGGGATTAAGGTTTGTACGATTGAAGATTTGGTTAGGTATATTGAGGAGAATGAAGGGGTCTTGGGTAAGGCGGCGTAGGGGGGGAGGGCGGAGTGAGGGATCTTGTGGGATGGGTCAAGAAGAGATGAAGGCGGTCTGGTGGGGTTGCAAGTACATATGGAAATGGTGATTTATGGAAAGAAATGAGAAAATATCATGAGATGAGGTTTTGACAATTTAGTCTTGTGGGAGCACATTTTGGTACCTGGAATAGGAAAAAGCCTTCATGTAGAATATTCAGTTCAATACTAAACCCGAGATTCCATTCAGATTACGTCGTATGATTAAATTACCACTTCTCAATGAAGCACAAGTGACACCATAGTATCAAGAGTAGAAAGGATATTAAGGGACTACGAAAGAAGCGATAAAACGCCAGAACATGGAACCCAGAAACAAAAACGCTTTCTCATGCTAACGAAACCGCATATATGTATATCACTTTTTTTTTTTCTCTCTCCCAACCCAAATCCCTTTTTCACCCATTCTTTCCCACAAAATCATCTATTCTCCTCACCGCATCCTCCATCTCCGCCACCGGCACCGAGAACCTCAGTCTCGCCCAGCCGAAATCCTTCTCGACGCCTCTAAAGCTCTTTCCCTGGGCAACCATGACACCTCCCCACCTCGCCAGGTCACCATAAAACCTCGCCTCATCATGCTGCGTCCTCGCGCGTTTCGCCAAGCGGGCAAACATGCAGAAGCCGTGCGAGGGCGCGAGAAACGGCACGTCGTGTTTGCGTAAGACGGCGGCTAGCATCTTGTAGTTGATGGTTAGACGCTCCGAGTTGAGGGCAAGGAGAGTAGGGAGTTGGGACCAAGACAGGAGGCCGGAGAGGTGAGAAGTTGAGAGTGAGGAAGGGTGAGTGGAAGTTAGGGCCATGGCGTGTAGAAGGGAGGGGTTTTGCTGTGACACGAGACATCCCTATATTTCGTCGTTAATACAAGAATCCTTTGTTGAATTGGGTAAGGGTTACAAGAAGAAGACTGTGAGAAGAAGCACCTACCACTCTGAATCCGCTCATGCCGAATAACTTACTCGCACTCCATACTACGTGGACACGGCTCGGATCCACCTTGACAGCTCCGGCGCGTGCGAGTGGTTCTGTAAGGCTGAGTGCGCTGACAAAGTCTGGGGCTTTGCTATCAGTCCCACACAGCTTGAGGAGAGCGTAGACTTCGTCGCAGATGAGATGCAATCCTCGTTCTTGGCAAAACTCCATGAGCTCAAGCAATGTCTCGCGGGGGTAGCATCTTGAAAGCGGGTTATTAGGATTGCACAACAGCACGGCCTTGATACGCGAGCGCTTGTCCGAGAAGTCATAGGCTGCTTGGAGTGAAGGGAGAAGATAGTTGTCCCAATGTGAGTAGGTGGGTGGTTTGGCAACAATCAGTTCCACATTAGCTTTTCTCTTTAGGATTGTTTCGAAGCCAGCTGTACTATTCTCAGCATTCGTGGTTCTAGATGTTTTGATGTACTCTCAAGATGGTACATATACATACACCAATGCGGACCAGGAGCGAGGATGCAGTCGCCATCGTCACAAATGGCGTGGATGACGTTCTCGACGGCATCGACGGCTCCCGATGTAAGGACAATGTGCTCGGGCTTCACCGTGTGGATGGGATTGAAGTATGAATTAAAAAAGATGGCTAGTGCATGGCGGAGTCGCTGATCGCCGCCATTGACTGATGCGGCGGGGGCTGCGAATGCCTGTCTAGACTGTTAGTGGGCAAGCACAACTTTGCTCGGCCTGGGACTCGGGACCTCGTTCGCAATGTTATCCTCCAGAGTGCTGTGAAAGAACTCGAGCAGCTCGGGATGGATGGCCTCGTTGAGGCCACGAGACAGATCAATAGTTGGGGGGAAGGGATCGGTGATATGTGGAGGTTGTTGTTGTTGTTGTTGCTGTAGGGCGCCTGCCGCGAAGGTAGGGAGAAGCTCCCGCAATGCTTTTTGCGTGCGTTGCGACAATCCGGCATCCATTGCGAGGGATTGTGCCATGGGGGGCGCGTACCAAGGGCGGCAGAGTGGGTGCGGTAGAATGCAGAAGCAAAAAAGGAAGACAGATAAATCGATTCAGGCGCTGCACGCAGCCAGACATGGAAATGCCTGACATTCAAGGTTCGGCAAGCGGATCTCTGCTGCGGCATAGTTACATCCCAACACTCTGGGACGCGTTACCGGGAGTCGAGGCCTTGAGAGAAGCCCGGACTCTGCTTGCAAGCGACCTGGCAAACCATGACATGATTGCTGGCGCCACTGACCTCCAACAGCAGACGGAACAAGCATTCGGGGAATCTCGTACGCAAGGAAAAACACCTCGAGTCCAGTGCTGTTTGCCCCGGGGCACACACACACACACACACACACACACACACACAATTAGTGCCTGCCCATTCTATCCCGCCCATGTGCCCTGTTATCACTATCACACCGGCACCTCCCAAATCAGTCCAAACGCCGCTGAAGATGCACACACGGATAAAGTACCTGCAGCACTCGACACGACCGTCAGCTGCGAAGCTCCATGTCCGTACCCATTACCAATGCTCCCTTGATCGCCATTCCATCAGGCCCGCTGCGCGGCCCGTGCTATACTGGCCCCAACCGAACCCCTTCGCCTATTACCCAATCCATCCCGTCAATGCAATGGCCTCAAACTATACTTATGGCCACTAGCCTTGTGGGCGTCCGATCCCCTGTTTAGCCTGTACCTGTGGTCAGTTCCATTACACCCAACCCACATTGTTAACATACCTTCATCATTTCTATCCTCTGCTTCAAGTTTTGAGTCACCTCTGCAGCACGCTTCCAGCTCTCTGCTCCCGAAGCAGCCTGTGAGCTGGATCGAAATCCGCCGCCATTCTCGCCTGGGCTAATGCGGTCACCGCCACGCGATGATAGTGATGACTTGCCAGAAGCGGCATCTGCTCGGGGGCTCAGTTTACCACTCAAACTACTGCTCGGCTGCGACAGAGTGTCAAAGTTCTCCTTACCATCACCTCCGGGACTGTTTGGCCCACCAGCAAAACTCCTGTCTCTTCTCGGATGCATGGCCCGGCTGCCGTAGCCAGAGTCACCAAATTGTCCCCCATTGCCATTTTCCGAGTAGATATGATCAACCACATCTGCTGGTGGTGGAGAAGACACACGCACTTGGCGACTGAGTTCGCGCTTCAATCGGTCGATTTCCCGACGCTGGAATTGAACAGTCTGCTCAGATGCTTCAAAGTCCGAGCGGGCACGCACAAGTTGTGTTTCCTTGGCCTTGATAGAAAGCACGTCGCGTGTGTGATCTTCGATTAGCTGGGCATTTTGGTTTTGGAGCTCAAAGATTTGCGATGAAAGCTTTGTTCGCTCCGCCCGCAGTTCTTCATATTGCCTTCGAATTCGCTCAACTTCGGCTCGAAGCTCATCAAGCTCAGCCCTTTCGACTAGACTCAGTCCGGTGGGGGCCTGGTAGACAGGGGCAGCAGCAACAGGCTCAGCAGCAGGTTTTCCCAAGGGACGGCCCGCAAGACCACGGCCCGCGCCAAATTTGGGCTGTGGCTGTGGTGTTTCTTCTTCTTCCGGTGGCGGAGGCGATGGGGCAGACTTTCGTGGCGAGGGTGCTGCGAGACCAGGCTTCTTCAATCCTCCCAGTCTTGATGCACCAGGCTTGGCACCCAACTTGGGCGGCGCCGGTCTCGATGTTGGCTTTGGTTCAAGCGGCGCGGCCGGCTCTTCGACAGGCGGAGGTGGGGGAGCTTTGGCTGCTGGAGCGGCCTTCTTCACACCACCGGGTGCTGGCCGCTTACCTACAGGCTTCTTCGTTGGCGCGGGAGCTGCAGGCTTGGGAGCAGGGGCAGTTTTTGGCTTGTATTTGGTCTTCACTTCGGCAGCATCGTGGAATTCCTTGATCTTGGCTTTGCGGATGTCATCCAGCCCGTCAAGGTGAGCATTCATGATTCGATCTCCCATGATTTTCCATAGTGTACCCAGTGCCTCAGCACCAGCGGATCGCTGTACTTCTTGTGACTCTGTGAGGAGCTTTGTAGAAGCCTCTGCGATGGCCTTGGCTTGTTCAGGTGTTGGTGCTTCACGAGTGTTCTTCAAACATCGGATCAGGAACCTAGAGGATTCCAGCTTGACCTGAGGGTTCTTGTGCTTCAGAAACTCTAGAATTTCTTCAAGACACTCCTGGAAACTCGTCGAGGCAAAAGATGCATCAAGGGCGGCTCCAATAGCATCGGTGACGGTTTGTTTCTTCTCCTTCAATCGTTCCATCATAGCATTCATTACATCCTTGCGGTACTTGGCGAAACTCTTCTTCAAACCCTTTGCAAGCAGCTCAACACAGTTGGCAGCTGTGATGACCACAGCAATATTTGCGTCTTTCATGCTCTTTGCAAACCCACGTATCAATTCATCAAAGGGACCCTCAGCAATTCGAGGGTGGTCAAGCGCCTTCTGAACCTCGTCGAGTGTTTCTTTGCGATCTTTCCATTTGGACGATGCTAGCTTCTCGGAGAAATCCTTGGGTATCTTTGCGAATACATCGACGGCCTCGTACTCGGGCTCCAGATCAATGGCGGCGTCTTCTTCCTCCTCTTCCTCCTCATCCCCACCTGGACCCGCCGCTGCGGCTTCTTTTGCAGCCTGTTGCGAACGGAGCAGTCGCTCTTGTTTTGGCGGAGGCTCGTCTTTGACCTTTTCGAAGAGTTTGTCGAGATCCTGCTGCTGCACGGGCTTCAAGTCGTTCCAGAAAAGTGGTTTCATTGCTTCTTTGAGCCAGCGGTAAAGCTCGACTGTCAATTCCTGCGCCTTTGCGCGAACATTCTTATCCGCATGGCCGTATACTTTGGGCAGGGATTTGAGAACGGACTTCGGTTCCATGGTCTTGCAGCCATAAGCATGGTACATTTGTGTCAATGCTTCTAATGTCGCGGCAATAACCTTGGGTTGCTTGTGTGCTAGTATGGGAAGGAGCTCCTCGATGACTGGGTCCGGCTTGTCCGTCTCAATGTACAACATAAGCGCCTCGAGTGCCTTTTGCTTTGCTGCTGGTCGCGTTGACGGCAATCCCTTTTCGGCGATTGTAGCGATGGTGATGTTCCGCGTCCTAGGCACCAAGTCAGCAGCAACATCTTGTATAAGGGTACGCGACATGTTACCGTGTGCAGCCCTGTTGGCCGGCTATGTCGAGGAAGGCGCATAGTGCACCAAGACCTTCCTGCTGTGCGGCGACGTTGGAGTCGCCCACTACGCCCTTCCATATGCTCGCATCGTTTATGAACTGGCGCACTACCGGATCGGACTCGCTGGCAGCTAGACTGAATTCTTTGGCGGCGGCTTCATAGCCCTCTTTCCGAACCTTCCAGTTCTTGTGTACAAAGCGATCGGGCAGTGGCAGCTTGCTGAAATCTTCCTCGTCGGCCATGGCGTGCGATTATTGTTTATGTGCGTGTACTGTGTGCGTGTGTGTGTGTGTTTGTGTATGGGGGAAATGGATGGAAGAGAAGGGGGAAGGACTATCAGACGAGTCAGTCGCAAGCCTGGACAAAGGGAGAGCGGGAGAAGGAGAGAGAGAGCGTGTGGATGCACATTGGGAGAGGGCCAGGTGCGGATAGATAGTTGCGCAGCGGCCCAGGACAGCGTCGGGAAAAAAGGAGCGGCGGCCGACGACGTACCGGATGATGTCAGTGGGACCCAAGAGGGGGATTGTTTGGGCGAATGTGGTGGGGATATTGTGGTCTGGCGCAGCAACAGCAGAGACGTGTGTCGTGGTCCAAGTGGTGTCTGGCTACTGATGTAAATCGCATGTGCATTGGGCGTTGATCCAGCAACACGTCTTTCCCACTGGCGGCCACCCCCTGCACTCTCGCACTCAGCAGCCCAGGTGGTATACACACCGCCGCCCACCACCCGCCGCCGCCGTGTTCTGCCCACATACTGCTACCCACTGTACACGCACACGCCCATCCCTCCCCCCAATTCACACCCCCTTCCCCTTGTGGCGGCCTGCGCAATCTCTGTGCCCACTCCCGCCCTACGCCCAAGCACACGCACAAACCCACCCCGCCTGGCCTTTGTTCCCTGCTCACCGCCGACGCCATTCCCCCGCGCCCACCAACACCCTCCGCACCCACGGCCCTGACCCAGCCCAACCAGCGGCACAGTAGATGGTGGGCTTCTGCGACGGCCGCGTTTGAGCTAGTCTTTTCGCCATGAGCGCGATACTTACAGACCGCCAAGCAGAGGAGTTGTAAGTGTTGGCACCGGCCCATGTACAACCGCCCACGACTGACAGCACCCCCAGGCACAAGGCCATTGTCGCCTATCTGGGCGTCATAAATGCGCCAAGGACCGCAGAGGCTTTCCGTGAGGAAGCCGGCATCTCGGACAATTTCGACGAGGCCACGCGGAAAAAGTATGAGGGGCTACTCGAGAAGAAGTGGACGAGCGTAGTCCGCTTGCAGAAGAAGGTAGCTGTGCGCTAGTGTGCTCTCTGGAGTTTGATGCTCATCTTTTGCAGGTCCTGGAACTTGAGCAGCGCAACCAGAGTCTCCAGAGCGAACTCGACTCCACAACTCCTACCTCGCTTCTCCGAAGAAATCAGGACCCCACCAGCTGGCTGCCACGAGCCCCGGCACGACACACGCTCCAATCGCATCGCTCCCCGATAACATGTGTAGCCTTCCACCCCATCTTCTCCTCACTTGCTTCAGGCTCAGAGGACACGACCATCAAAATCTGGGACTGGGAATTGGGAGAGCTCGAAAGGACAGTCAAGGGACACACAAAGGGTGTGCTCGACGTTGACTTTGGTGGCCCAAGAGGCGGTACACTACTGGCATCTTGTTCTAGCGACCTGACCATCAAACTCTGGGACCCCTCGGACGAGTACAAGAACATCCGCACTCTCCCAGGCCATGACCACTCCGTCTCTGCCATTCGATTCATACCCAGCGGCGCAGCAGGTTCGCCGTCGTCTGGCAACCTGCTTGTTTCCGCGTCCCGAGATAAGACATTGCGGATATGGGACGTTACAACAGGATACTGCGTCAAGACGATTAGAGGACATGTCGACTGGGTACGCGACGTAGCGCCAAGTTTCGATGGACGATGGCTACTATCTGCGGGTAATGACCAGACTGCTCGGCTGTGGGACGCCGGCTCGGGCGAACCAAAATGTACCTTCATAGGTCACGACCATGTAATTGAATGCGTCACCATAGCGCCTCCAGTGTCGTACGCCAATCTTGCCTCTCTTGCTGGACTTAAAAAGCCACCGCCACTGAGCAGCTCAGCCGAGTACATAGCAACCGGATCGAGAGACAAGACAATAAAGATATGGGACGGACGAGGAACTCTGATCAAGACACTGACAGGCCACGACAACTGGATACGATCCCTAGTCTTCCATCCTGGTGGAAAGTATTTGCTATCGGCTAGCGACGATAAGACCATCCGGTGCTGGGATCTCACGCAAGAAGGCCGATGTGTCAAGACGGTCACTGACGCACACGGCCACTTTGTCAGCTGCATGCGATGGGCACCCAATATCGTCAAGGATGTACCTGCCAATGGAGATACCCCCAATGGCACAGCAAACGGTACCAACAAGAAGAATGAGGACGCCACAAAGGGCATACGGTGCGTCATTGCGACGGGATGCGTGGACCTCAATGTTCGCATCTTTGCCTCATGAAAGAAGAAGACATTGTTTGCTGTTGAATGCAGCCTAATCAACTTCCTGTGCTTTCCATTTCCAAAGTTGGATGTACAGACGGATGTCCCGCCGCCTTTGTACGCGCGATGCTTAATGACTCTCAAATCTTACGATACGACTTCATGTACATACCCGAGTTACCAGATAGCATCTTCCCGCGTCGTGAGATGGCGTTCGTGGGTCCAAGGACATGAACATGGGGTAGACGTCAGTCTGCGAAGAAGGAATGGTGGAGGAACGAGGAGATATGCACTTAGTATGCCATATTAGCTCAGAATGCGATCTACTTCTGCCTCGAATTGTGTCTCTTTTGCTTCGAAGCACTTGACCGTGTTCCTTTCCATAGTGTGCACGAGCCAGTCTTGCTTACGTACAGTGCATGTGCTGTTGGCGCGATGCTCGCTTAGTCATCAACGCGCTAGCGGAGCGGAAAATTTAGCTCCAACCTCCGAAAGCTACAACTTTTCTCAATCTGCCTGCAACCTCTCTTCTACACACATTCCTATCGCTTCACTCAGCGATGGCTACCAACACTGCGATACAATGACTGTCGCTTATGTACGATTCTCTGCTAACTAGACTATCTAACAATCCCGCCATCAGAATGTACTAGCTTTGGTATGTATTTGCATTACTTTTTCATTTCATCCTGCATCTTCATGATGAATCACAAAGCCAATTAAACTAGAGTCTTTGACCCTACGGGGAATGAAACCTAAACTTGCACGTCAGTCTGAACGCGACTAGCTCATCCTATACTTTTTGCACTTGCAGAGAAGGCATATGGCTAACCAACAATAGAAGCCTGTCTGCCAACAAGCATCTAACACAATGCGACTACTATGGCCATAGCTGTTCGCCTGTTTGCGCAATGATGCGCAAATCAGGATCTGCCTTCTCAGACTCTTTGGTACGTTCTCTCCCTCCAAACTACCCAACCTTTCCAATGATGATCATTTGTGCTTCGGCACGCTGGAAATTACCGACCAAGGCTTCTGCCTGTGCCGATAAAATATGGCTGTTTCTGATTTTTGTTTTCACTTGAAAATTTAGCTCATTCCGCTATTCGCATGGCCATTTTTGCTAACTGGAATGTTGCGCAGACTACCCGGTATGCTCTACCCTTCCCTTCAACCGCCCCATTCAATGATGATACGGCACTGGGCTCCGACAATTCTTGACGGATACGCCTTTTATGGCAGGCCTCAGAAACCTCGCCGAACTGATCGCTTCCCAATATCTCCCATGGCTGCATAAATAAATTTGGGCATTAGCTAATGCTCTAACAGTCTATCTTGAAAAAGATAATAGAGCAGGTAACTGGTAAGCATATTCCATTCTTGTTACTTCCTGCGAAATGATGAACAATTGATGACGAGTCCGACGGGTTCGCCCGGTGAAGACTTAAATCAAAATATATCCATTCATGTCAACTGATCCACACTCGCGTCTTCTCCACTTGTTGTGTTGCTTTGATAGACGCATCGCTGACATGATCCCAGACAAATCCTCACAATGAACATGGTACGCTCATCGTCCACACTCCCTTCTGCAATGATGAAACGACACAATCAAAGACAAGCATATGTCCAAGCTCCGGCGACGACGAGAACCGTCACGTCTGATCCGCAGTCACAACCTGCTTGTTGAATATCATGTCGATCAGAATCAGCAACTGATGGGTTGCATAGGATCTTGCCATACCTGCAAGCATGAACTTTAGAATACAGTATGTCAGTCCTTGTCTTTGCCCCTTTCCCTTATAAGATGAACATTCAATTTATCACGACGGTCTACCGAGCTACGGCAATGGTGATAACTGCCTGTGACAGGGCATGAGTCTGATCAGCACCTTCTACTTGATGATTTGCTTCACAATCTTCAAACAGCAGATGCTGACTATATGAACAGAGCGTTATGTTTTCCGCCAGTATTTCTTGTGCCGCATAGGCAGCGGTGCACACAAATGTTGTGAACAGGGTTGGAAAAGATTCTATCATTCATGTTTCTTGTCCCATGCTTGGGTAGCCAATGAGTGGACCGTTTCCACTGCTAGTCCTGCATATCAAATCGCTGATGTCTTCCACGTGCGCCCAGGGTTGCGTCGACCTATCTTCCTCCGATTTTACAAGTAGCTCAATACAATCCAATCGTAATGTCTCCACGAATTCTTGCCGTCAGATGAATTTCCGCCTCCAGATCTAGCTTGATACCAATCAACAAAGCAGCGTCCTTTTGCTTTCCGTTGTCGTCTACGGGTCCTTTGATGATGTTGCCTGCCGGGCGGTTGAGTGTAGCGGAGGACGGGACGGGTCCGACGTTGGCAGAGACCTTGCGGCCGCCGGATGCTTGACCATCGCTCTCAGAGTCGGAGCCGTAGCCTGTTGGGCGGATGGTGGATTCCCTGACGCCGGTTAGCACATGCGGAATACCCTGGTCAGGATGCAGCTTACATGGTGGACATGTTGGGTTTGAAGTGTAGAGTTGGGGAGAGTGGTGTTGGTATTAAGGATTATGCAGGACTCTCAGGTTCGATGGGCTCCAGGCCGTTTGTCGAATGAATGTAGAATGGGAGAAGGCGGTCCAGGTCAACTGTACTGGCCTTTGTTGAGTGGCATATGTTTTGCCTTATATACGGGTATGTCCTGAGGCCTCTGACTACCACGAGTTGCTCTCCTATCTGCTGCTGCACCACTTTGGGTTGAGGCCCCGAAACCGCTTGTGCGGCACTCGCTGCGTTTGAGATGGGCTACTATCGTTCGAGTCTCGTACTAGCATGATTGCACAAACGAGTCTCTGCATCCAGACGCGAAGATCGGCAGCGGTTCCATGAATAGTCTGGGTTCGTGTCATGCTATGGTTGTGGCGCGTGTAGAGCTGAAACATACAAGGGGTTGTCAGGGTCCAACGTACGCGTCTCAGCCGGCACATTGTTATTCCTCATCAGACGAGCATCAGATCATGGTAGTCGCGAGGCAATATACGCTAAGCAGTAGCAATAGCATGCATAGACCATGCTGATTGCGGTTCACTAGCCATGGCGAATGTCCCAGGCCCCCACGCTCTACTCCGCCCCAAACACCGCCGACTGGACGGACAACGTCCAAGATGGTCCTCTCAATTCTCATAGCAACGATTACAGCCCCAGGCCTACTTGGCTCCCAGGAAGCAATACGCCAGTCCCAATCCAAAGAAAAGAGGGAAGAGCATCGCGCTCGTCGTTGCAATCTTATCGCAACATGCGTCAAGTCATCCAATCGCAGCCGAGAAATCAACGGGCGACAGGTCGTTTTGAGGAACGGAAAACTATGGATTGATACTGGAACCGAAGATGGAAGCCCGCTTGGACACCCATATGCCGGGTATTACCTGCCTTACCCGGACACAAAATACGAAGGCCTTGTCACGACCATCACTGATGTTGCTCCGATTATGAATTGGGTTTATATTGACAAAGAGACTTGCGAAGTCAAGTATGGTGTACGCGCAGACGCACAACCTAATCTCACTGGACCATTTGACTGTACACGACAAGATCGCCGGCTCACATTCGATGGCTGGGAGGGATGGTGTGCTGTAGAGCAAGCGCCTGGTCTATGGGAATTGTACTTTGACCTCAACGACGATGGACTAAAATCAAAACTCGGGCCTGGAACAAGGGTGCTGGAGATTGAGTTGAGTCGAAAGGAAAAGAGGTTCCAAAAGGAGACGAATGCACGACAACAAGACCAAACAACAACAAGAGCTGTTGATACAAAGGAAGAGGCACCGACAGACCAGCCGCTTGCTCCAGAGCCATTGGTATCGAATCCCGGTGTGTCAGATGAGAAGGCATCGGAAGCGGGTGCTCAAGAATCGTACAAGTACAGGCCGATGAAGATTCCAAAGTCGATCTTTGAGAACCCGCCCCCTATGATAGAATCCTTGGTATTCAGAGCACCCACCCCACCGCCAGCGTACACTCCAGCGACAAAAGAAGAGCCCGAGAACGCGGCAGAAACAAAGAAGCCCGAATCAGTAGAGAGTGAGGAGCCAATTGCTGGTCCCGCCATTACAGTCCAAGACACCAATGTGCCAGATGTCGACGATCAGCAAGTCACGGGCCAGTCTATTTCCGAACCAGAACAACCCCGATTGACACCAGATAACACGGTTCAGGCGCCTCTTATCGAAACAGAATCTTCGCCCCCAGCGTCACAGTCCCCGCCTACAAAAGAGAGTCGCACTACGCCTAAGCTTAATAGAAACAGCGGGTCACGAGCTTTGGCACAAGCCCTAAAATTTGAAGCCATGGCAGCAGCACAAAATTCAAAAGACCAATTACGAGAACGCTCAAACGAACGTAGATCGCGTGTTAATAGCAACACGTCTTCCATGTACTCCGATGATGACGAGGTATTGGAAGACCCTGTAGCTGCCAATGTACGACCTCAGCCGTCTCCCACCCCAGCACCTCTGGCTCTGGCGGTATCGAAAACGAAGCAGGCAATGGCATTGGCAATGCGACCCCAACAACCAGGAGTAGCGAAGCCTGCACCGAATCCATCCATCGAACGACCAATAACACCTCCACGCCAGCGGGCACGGTCTGTACGGGAAGACCCGGCGGTGTCTGGTTCGATGAGAGCATCTTCTTCACAGCGGCTTGCAGTCTCTAGAACATCTCAAAGCTCACAAAGCTCAGCGAAAAGACCAACATCTCAATCATCGAATCAGAGACCTCCCTCAGCTCGACAGCAAAGGGAGCGCTCATCTTCGGAGCAGCCTGTCTTAGCTCGCCCGTCATCTAGACCGACAGTGCAATCTAGTCCTGGGCCAGGTCGTCAATCACTCGCTCGAACAATGACAACTGGAAAAGGTAACCAGGGTATGAGTAATCGGATAGGTGGAGGCTACGTAAGCAGAGAGAGAAATATGTCTAGTTCGGGAAGGCAGATTGCTCCTCCTGTTGCAGCAAATCGGTCGAGATCTGCTACTGTTGGCAGGAAGACTACATCTGCACTTTTTAGAGAGATTGATGACTTGGTCAATCAGGAAGATAAGGGAAGCGCAAGTACAAATACGAGGGGGAGGGACGAGAGAAGGAAGTGAATGGACATATTGCGGGAAGTGTAGTTCAAGTATAGTACTCTTAGATTCCATAGAGAAGTCCATTTCTCTAACAATGGTCTCGGTACAAAATTCGGCAGTTTGATTTCCTCCAAGAAGATTTCAGTATGAGGGATATATACGCGCTGAATTCGATGGCTGCAAAAAGTTTCCTTATTCACTCATCAACGCGCACCTTTCTCCCAGCATCCCTATCCACACAGCAGATGATCTCTCAGTTTCCGATCCCTTTGATGAAGACAGACGCCGTATATTAGTGTTCCTGTACTTTGCAGAATTGGGCCGATCGGCGGGTATGCCACGTACCCGATGCGCGATTTACGGAGAGTACTTATATTTGAGCGCACCTACACCGCGCGGTTTTCCATCGCTCTTCCTTCACAACATCCACCCACAACACCAAATTCACCTCTCGAAACACCCATTACCTTTAGACTCGCTAGCTGTAGCCACTGAATTTTGAGTGGATCTTCCGTCTACCCGAATGTTTACGCTGCGGCCCCGACCGCCGACCAAAATGTGAAACTGGCAAGGATGTTACCACTGCTTCAGAACTTCCGGCACGTTTTAGGCCAACGTCGCGGATGAGGAATGTCATGCGAGTCCAAGAGTAGGCTGCAGCATTTGTGGTCTGATAGAAAGATGATGGAATCTATAGGAGAGTCATGATAACTATGGTCGGTTGGACTAGCGGACTTTTGTGAAGGGCGTTGAACTGGACAGTTTGCTGGATTGACAACTGGCTGGACCATTATACCAACTGGACCTTTTGATTAAATTTTGGAACTCCGCTGGACCTTCTGGAAAGTTTTTCTGGCACTATTGGCTTTTTTGATATTTGTAATTCACACCTCAGGTTGCGACAAGCGCCTTTTTACGCATCATTGTTGGCGTCTCACGAGCAATACACCATGGACGCCTCCACCCGGCTGTACAAACGACTAGGAGAGATACCCGAAGATCCCAACCATCCGGATAGTCTGGATGATCTTATTGTCTGCGCGTTCGGCGCATTTGAGCGATACTATCTTTGTTGGAAAACAAAGGGCGGAGAGTACAAACAAGGTGAGTTTTTTTTTACCAATGTGACGATGAGAAATCCGTACTCACACTAGCAAGACTGCTATGGACTTCCACCTGCATTGAAAGACTGGCTTTATCCGATTGACGGTACAACACGCGATTTCGAATCCCTCCAAGTGGTTTTTGGTCGTGGTGAAGAGTACTTTGCGTCAGATAAAAATGGAAAGCTGGAGTACAAAGAGCCGGAAGTTAGGAAACCAGCACCAGTAGACGATGAGGAGAAGTATGATAAGCAAGCGCTCAGGAGGTCGAGGACGGTTTCTTTTCTACGGCCGTTGTCAGAAACAAGTATGCGATCCGACAGTGTTGTGAGCGAGACGAGGCAGAGTAAGAGATCGAGTTCAATAAGTTCGCAGCGAACGAGCCGGCCACCTAGCCTAAGCTATACGAATTCGAGAACGAACTCTGAAATATCGTTACTGGGAGATACAATCATAGAAGGGCAGGCTAGTCAACCCGTGCGCCCTTCGTACCTTTCACAATGGAGTGCCATGGGTGCCAACGTCAAAGAAGAAGGCGAACTATCACCAAAGAACCGAACAGGTCGCCAATTTGATTCCGATCTCGGGAAAGACCAAGAAAACAGACGAACAGATTCTCTCGTCACACCTACAATGCCAACTCAACCGCAAACCACATCGAACACAAATACCCAACCACCACGCACCACCATACCCGACCCCTCACACTGCACATGCGGCTGCCACCACTCCCACCCCCCACCCCCCAAACCGGCCTACGCAAACGCAACAACCCAAACCTCGCCACCGCCCTCCCCCCGCCGCAACCCCAGCCTCAGCATCGAGCCGACCCCGCCTTACTGGCAAACCCAATCCGCCTACGCACAACCCGTCTCACACGACGAATACTACTACGAAGAAGCAGACTACGCCGCGCCCCCCGTGCTCATGGGCCGCATGTCATCGTACTTTAGCAAGCCCGGGTATCAGCTGGGCGATAGCTTGTTTAGTGGCTATCAGCCGATTAATTGGGGGGTCCCCGTGACAACGACGACAGAGACGTATGTGTATCAGGATACTTTTGGGGAGGAGGCGTTGAGGTAGGAGATGTGATGGGAGGAAGAGGATTCTTTTTTTTTTCTGAATACCAATATGGAAAGGGGGGGGGAGTTTGACGCATATGCGGGGTTGAGTGTGTACGGAGATGGGGAGGTAAAACTGATGAAGTCTCTCCGTTGAGAATGCTGAAATGTAGAGAGTGTGTATGTGTGTCGTGTTTAATATACATCAGAAGAAACTCTCGAGGATTTTTCTTGGGCAGGCTGTAAGACTATACAACGTTTTGCATACTATCCCAACTTACAGACCTCATGTACTTTTTTTTTTTAATATATTCCCTTTTTTTTTTAAGTAATACACAATTATACATATATAGCTATCGTGCTTCTTTTACTCTCCTCAGTCATTCTTACCCGCATCTGTAGGGCCAACAATGCAGGTCCCGGGGTAGCCAACACCACAAAGATGCCGTTTTGTCCGGTGGCGCTTTTCTTAGCATGCTAGATGGGGATGTTTTTGTGGGTCTGGTATGCAGGTTCATCAAAAGGATGATGATGCTTGTTCTCTTTTTTTTAATTCCCGGTGTATTGTGGGGTAGAAACGTGTAAGTATCTATTCTGGGGGATTGTAGAGTCTGGGGGGGAAGTGGGATTATTTGGTGAGGAGATGGTATTAAGCTTTAGATTGATTTTTGTTTTTAATAAAGGGTAAGCAGATACAAGGATAGATGTATTCATTTCATGTTGTTGTTTTTTATCGTCATTCCTATACTATTCTTCTCTAAGAAATTCGTTCAAAGAAGAAAAGAAAAAACATGACGAGAAAAAAAAAAGAGATTAGACTTCAAGATATACGATTCCTTATCTCGCTCTACCTTTTCCAACACCGCTTTTACTATCGCACCGAACTCAAGCTGACTCATCTCTGCATTCTACTATTCCCCACCCACAAAAAACCACCTTCACCACCTGCGCTCCCCCCTATCTTCTCCTAAGCTCACCCCTGGCCCTCGTCCAAACTACCCATCCTCATCCCCCGCTCGTACACGCACATACCAACCTCTTGGACGGCCGGTTTATTCGGAGACAAGGCTCGCCCTGCACCGAAGAACAGTCCCCAAAGGCCGCCTCACTTTTCACCTTTACTTACGTGCTATAATATATCATCCAGAGTTTTTTTTCCAAAACAACAACAACAACAACTACATGTACACTTCATTAAATCGTATCAAAGTAAAATGATGGTATATGATCCTATTAGATTTTCATGTTTAGAACAATACAGTAGTTGGTTGGTTAGTTTGACAGTTTGCTAATATCTCCGAGCATAAAGGTAGCCATTTAGGGGTTTACTCCGATTGGACTAGTAAAGAAACCGACCGATTGAAGAGCGGAGAGATGGAGAGATAATAAGGATGCCAGTTTACACAAGCAGCAAGTATATAAGTGAAGTCTGCTGGGGGAGGAGGCATTTATTCAGTAATCAGGGTCCATTTTGAAGTAATTGCATTTCCATACACACACACACACACACACACACACAGAAAGGGTTTTCATTTCGTTCGTTTTGTGAAGCCCTCCCGCGATGCACGCTAATGCTTGCTTTGCCGAGGAGAGAAAAGCGGCGGCGGGGGGTTCGGAGATACGGGAAAACTAACCCTGGACACGGTGCGGAAAATACGCACTGACGAGCGACGATCCAGGTCTCGTGTTGGGGGATGTGCCAACGTGTGCCTGTTTAGGGGGATTTCTTTTCTCGGAGAAACGAGAGAGAGAGATAGTAGTGAAAAGATATGGGGGGGGCATGTACGTAGGAAGGAAAGGAATCAAGGCAATGGCCGATGACGCAGGGTGGTACCGGTGTGTTGGGTTAAACGGACGTACATGCGTATACGAAAGCATGTATGTACCTGGACGTGATCTGATGTGGACACAAACGTCACGATTGTATCCAACTTTTGTGCTTGCGAGAGGTGGAATGACAGCACGTGAGTAGATGAGGGGGGAAGGGAAAGGGGAATAAGCAGGATTTGGCTGGTATGCTAAGTAGAGTAGTAGTAGTAGCGGAATTGCTGACGCAGAAGGTTGCGTCTATCAAGACACATGTCCTTGACCCAGATGCTAACGGTGCAGCCACACAAATGCATCGATGATGCCGATTCAAAGCCACAGTAGCCGATGGGGGGTGTGGCATTTGACCATCGGGTGATATACCAGGGTCCCACGGTACGAAACCTGAAAGGTAATAACAAGCCGAGTAGTACTGCCGAAAGAGAGCAGTAACGCGAACACTCTTTTTTTTCGACCAGCCAACTGCACAAAGCGCATTACAAGCAGCAGAATCGAGGGTAAGCAACAGGTTCGATTTAGGCACAACAACCGAGTCAGCTGGTGCATTCGCATTGCGAAGCCAGAGCCGCCACAACCCCCCCACTCATTTACACAACCTTTGACATCATGCCCGCCTCACTGGCGGCTGGGGCTACTGCCGCTTCAGAAGTTGCAAGTGTGCACGTGTTGTCTGTCGTGTTGCAACGATGATCCCCCAAAGAAAAGAAAAAGGGCCCAGTTTTGGAAATCCAGGGACTCGTGATCGACTACATAGTAGACCAAAGGGCATTTCCTGGGACGTAAAAAAGAGAGAGGTGCCGAGCAAGGGTCCGACCAGTAGCGGTCGGACAAGGGTGGGTGGGGGTCTGCGCAGCACACACACCAGGGCCGTAAGGCGGTGGACGATCGGATTCCAGGAAATTTATTTGGGTTGTGTTTGGAGGAGAATTAAATATGAGCTAGAGAGAACGAACTAGGAGTGTTCTCCGAGAACAGAGACAAACTTAAAGAGGGAAAGGGCAGTGTGATAAGTTCAAGGGGGGGAAGGTATGTAGATGAAACAAGAAGGATAATACGGCCAGCGATTCTTGGGGTTGTTGCTTTCTGTGCTCTGTGTGGACAGGTGGGCAACGGGATGATGTCGGTACGATGATGGATGATGATGGGAGGTTGGTGGGCTCGGTTTTTTCTGGGTCAATGGCCGCTGCCACTGCATGTACAGGCGCTGGTAGCCTTTGCCTTTTCCTCGCCTCAATCCGCAAGGGCCGAGGATGTCGACAGCCATGCAAATAAGCGTTTAGGATGCGCACTGTGTCGCGCACTCCCCCCATAAAACAGGCAGTGTGCTGAACGGGCGTGTCCGTTGCAGCTAGAGAATTGCTGTCCTTGTGGGTTCTTCTTTTGCATGAGTGATTTTCGCCATTGGAACGCTTGTCCTTTTCCTCAAGGCGCGACTACCCACGCGGTTCGCTTCACGGGGAACCATACCAGGAACAATAAGGCCATTGCTTGTTTGTCATTTGTTGTTTGCGGTTCGCAGGAACCCTCTGCCCTGGCCTGGTTCCTGTTCGAGTTGTGGCGAAAGACGATGATGCATGTAAGACGTTGACGACAGAGTGGCTCAGGCGGTCGGTCCTTTGCACTCGACGAAACAGCAGCGTATGTCGNGGGAGGGGAGGGGCCATGTGCAACACGATCCCCTTTGTGCCTTGTGGCTACTCATGCAGCGGGCGTCGGATGGTGTGAGTGAGCGCATCAGTCGTGGGGTGGTGAGTGGGCTGTGCTGGTGCCGTGGTTGTGCCGCTATGGCTACATACCTCATCCCTCGGATCTTTGCCAGCCGCGCTCAGCGAAGTCCTGTCGCCGTAAGCGGCTACCCTTCTAGCGAGATACCATCACCCTGCCCTCCATTCCGCCTTTAGAGCGCTGATTAGCCTTGACAGCCTAAGAGCGGCCGTGGCACATGGTGCTGCTCTTGTCGGTGGTGGTGGTGATGGTGGTGCTACTGCTACTACTGCAGTTGAGTGCGCTGCATGTGTCCAAACATCACCTGGCTGCAACCTCTGCCAGCCGCGACGGGCATTGTTTAGCGCACGCAGCTTGACGGATTCATCGACTCAAGTCAGCAAAAATCTCTGCGTGTACTTGGCTTGCGTCTGTCCCGTGTTTGGCATGCAGGGCAGGTATTGGTAAGTAGAGAGGGGAAGACCGGCGAACCTCATAGCCGTGCAGCGACTAGGTGGCCATACGCCCTGCAGCCCCCGACACAATGCCACCCAGCCCCGTCTTGGTTCTAGAGCACCACTCTTTGGCAACCGTCTCCCCTCCATCCCTTCACACAGTAGGCAAGCGCACACAAACATGCATGGAGACTGTTATTGGACTACTATGCTCTATGTAAATTCTTCAAGGGCCCAGCGCTATCTTGTCCAAGGGCCAGTGTCTATACTTTTGTAAAAAATGAGAATGCCAGCAGCAATAGAGAGAAAAAGAACCCAAAAAATGCAGCAAAACAACCCGCCTCCCTAGTGTGTACCAATGCTTGCGCTTGCATGCTTGTTCCACCACCAAGTTCCCACCAAAAAGGCAATTGCTTGAAGGCCATCGTCTATCGGCAATGTCAAAACGGAGATCAAAGCATAGGGTTCGCGCCAGGTCAGAAACTATACACAGGCGACCATAAACGGTCCAAAGAGCACGGCCACAAGGGCCAATAAAAAAGAAGTTAGGGATAGACACATTGCCTAGGCCTTGGTATCATTGCGCACCAGCAGCGTCATCAGTCATGGCGTCATCAAAAGAAACAGTCAGCCAACATGGGCTGACTGTTCCTTCGCAGGCGTCTAGAACCAATTGTTGTTGTTGTTATTGGCAAAACAAGACATGTCAACATTGTTGTTCATGGCACTGAATGCACCATTGCTCTGGTCTAGTTGCCACGGGTCTACGGGGAGCCCGCTTTCATAATGGCTACCCATTTGCATTGCACCAACCTCGGCAAAGTCGGACGAAGCCGTGCTCGTCATGGTTGCGGGCGCAGCAGCAATGCTCTTAGCGTACATGGACTCAAACCCAAGCATGTTGGTCATTGGAGCCGACGTAGCTGCTGTCATGGATACGGGCACGTTGACGGGTTCACTGGGCACCGAGGGGTTGAAGCGATACGCAGGCGTGTCTTCCCAGAACAGCGACTCGCTGGCTGCCGACTGGGGGGGTTTGAAGTCCATGTCATTAAACAAGCCACCCTCGCCAATTTCAGAATGCGTAGACGAAGCGACTGTAAGGCCTGGACCGCTTTGCTTCGACTCGCCGCTGTGAGATGTCGGCTGGGCCAATTCGTCGTTGAATTTGCTCGGGTCCAATGGGAGATCGGTTGCAGACCAAAGCGGGTCAAAGCCAGCCCAGTCCTTGTCCAGGTTTGGGAGACAATCTTGCGAAGGCGATGTCGACAGGCTACCCATTGCAAATGCGCCAGTGACGGGCGTCATGGTGTTGGTCATCCAAGGCCACTGCTGGTTGGAAAACGTATCGCTGACGTTGCTGTCGGGAGAATCACCGCCACCCTGGGCAAACATACCACCAACCTGGCTACTGAACATGTCGTTGAAGGCAAAGGCGTCTAGACTGGTGCTTGCGCTTGCGACGGGGGGCTTGTCGGCACATCGCTGCGTGGAGCCAAACATGGCGTGAAACTCGTTGTTGGACACTGACAGGGTATCCATGGAGCGTTGCGTCTGGACGTCTGGCTGGGGGCGAGCATTCTTGTCTTGCGACAAAGCCGCGAAAGCCGCGTGGCCGTGCAGCGTGTGTGGCCGTGGGATCTTGTAGGGCATACCAGAGACATGGGCAGTGTTGTTGTTGCGATGGCAAGGCTTGTGGTGGCCGTTTGCGAAGACGGTCAGATGGCTTTCCGAGTGGGTGCCAGTCAGTTTGGGCTTGGCACGGGCGTCGTGGAGAGTCTGGCGGGAAGTATCCACCTTGAGATCAAGGTCATCCTTCTTAGTGCCGCACAGGCATTTTCCACCCGCGTGGCACTGGCATCGGTTGTCGTGGGCTAAAAGCAAAGGTCAGAAACATTTCGAGGACGGCCAAGCCAGCTATGAGCTCACTCTTCGCCTCGCTTTTGTCCTTGTGCGAGTCCTTGTCCTTCTTGTCGCCACAGTCGCATTTGGCATGGTGGGACTTGGACTTGCGCGCACCGCGACAGTGTTCGCATTGCTTGACCGGGCGGCCCTTGGGGTTGATATGGTGAAGATCACGATCTGTAAGGGGCCGAGTGTTAGCGCCGAGTGTCGAGGCACGGGGTTGAGTCGCAAATGCATGCGAGGGTGCAAGTGCGCATACCTGTGTGATTGCAACCGCTCACTCGGTGACCCTTGATGCACGACGAGCAAGCCCATTTTTCGCCATCGATAACAGGCATACCGGAGAGAGGTTACGGCCGAGAGCGGTCGTGGCAGCGGGCTAGGAATAGCCGAGTAGTGGGTGAAGCGCAAACGTGCCAAGGGGCTCGAAAAATGATGTACAGAAACAAAGGGCAGTGCAGCAGGCAGCGGGTGGCGCCGGCGTGCCGAGCCGAGAAGGGGCAGCGGTGCAGGCGACGACGAAGAAGAAGAAGCGGAACAGGGAGAATGCAAGGAAGACGACGAGCAGGAAAGCTAATTCAAACGCCAGAGGGTATCTTGGTCAAGGGAAGTTGGACGAGGACCGTGAACGCCGTGGACAGGACCGGAGGACGACAGGACTGGAGGCGAGAGTGGAGAGGGAGTATCAGAGGGGAACCGAGCGCAGGAGGCGCTGGCCGAAAGCGTTAGACGGGGCTCCTTGGGTACGACCAGACCAGTGTACTTGTATGGTGTTGTTGGGGGAGGATGGTGGTGAGCGAGCAGAGGGAGAGGGGAGCAACAGGTTAAGAGCAGAGGCACACGGGGCTGTGGAGCGTGTAATTGGCTGTGGAGCTTAGCGTCATCGGCAAGGGCGCCCGGGCCATTGCGACGCTGCGTGCTCGAATCTGCAGGCGCGATCAGCCATGGCGACGGCGGGCAGTCGTGGCCGCAAGGGGCGTAGCGCGCGAATCCCGCCCTCTGCACCCTCTGCAGCCTTCTGACCCTCGAGCGGTGCGAGAGAGCTGGCCGCTGCTGGCACATGTGCGCCCTCGCCCTCGCCCTCGCCCTCGCCTGCATGCAGCCCAGCACGCCGCCAGCACGCCGCCAGCTCGCCAGCCCGCAGGCCAGCACCGCCGTCCCTCTCACCGCATCCCGGCCCAGGACCGCATCCATGTGCCCGTACGCCTACTACCATGCTGCCGTCCTGGGGCCATGACCTGCAGCTGCTGCTTAGCCGCTCCATGCCCGCCACAAAGCACCGGACCTTGTGCCCTCGCTCGCCCATCTGACGACGCGTCCCCCCCGGCGTGCTGGCTGCGCTGGCCCCTCGTCGGCCGCCTTGTCGAATGGATTATGCGGCACTCCACGCACCGCCTGTTTCACGGCGGAGGCTGTTCGCTTGCCGAGTCAGCCTGTTTCCCTTGCCGCTGCTGCCTCGCCGCCATTGGCTGCGCCCCGTGTGTCCCCCCAGGGCCTGGCATGGATTCACACATGTACCCATCTCCATCCACTACTTAGACTACGTACATGTCCTGTCCCTCGTCGCCTTTGGCAGGCACAGTGCCTGCGACCAGCTGTGCGTGCGCCCATGTCCATGGCTGTCCCATGGCCTGTCTCGGGCGCGAGGCCGTAGATTGCCCTTGCGCATAATTAGCACCGTGGTCGTCAACCCGCCGCTTGCACGTGACAGGCTGTGCGCTCGGTGAAACAATAACCCCAATGCATCTCTGTACCTCTTGTACTGCAAGTATACTATATGCGGGCGCATGCATTTGACTAGGTCAATCGGCGGCGCGCGGCCACCCTGACTGCTTCCCCCGTGCACCTGCACCCCTCGTGCCTCGGCCTCGAAGCAACTAGGCCATGGTCCGGTCGCCGTGAAGCTTTGCTCCAGTGTCGACGGCCCGTCCATGGAGCACATGTATAGTACACACACACGTAAGTAGTAAGTACACATTCCAAGTCTAAGCAAGTGCGGTGTAGACACCTGGTGGGCCGTGCTTGCCCTGCGCCCGCGTCGGAGCCGTCTGCCCTTGCTGGCTGGCTCCGAGAAAGGCAGGGCCGACAGAGCCAAGTCCTGTAGCCACTTCCAACCCTCTGCCCAGCCAAGGACAATTGCCATACTTACACATCTACCATCCACCCACCGGACATGGCTCTGTGCTAGCAAAGCCCAAGCTGCAATCCACATGTCCGTCCGTCCGTCTGGCTGGCTGTCTTGGTCCATCTATGCTGCAATTGACATGTGCATCCATGTGCGTACTATCCTTAGCCTGCCCACCCTACTACAACCCACCTGCCCCCTCGATCCACGAATGCTCTAGACGCCGACTATCTCGACACCACTACGCTGCACGGTCGCCTGTAATCGTCCGTCTTGACACCGGCTTCAATCGCCAGCCTGCACTCGGCCCGCAGTGGCTGCTCAAACTCGTGTTCTGAATTGCCATTGCGCCAAACTTTCTCTCTTTCTCTCCCTTCGCCGGAGAGCCTCTACTACTACGTATCTAGCATGAGCACACATGACCCTGCGAATAGCGCGGCATGAGCCTTGCCATCGCCCCCTTGCCTACTCCAGTCCTCATCAAAAATGACTTGCTAGCAAATGCAGCCATGTGCTCAGCAATCGTCGTCTTGGCAGGCAGCACCCGCTGCCTGGTCAAACGTTTTGCTCCTCTGCAAACAATGGCCGAGCGTGGTGCTTCCAGTCGCCGCCCCGGACGGTGGAAGAGATAATCCGAACAGCGACCACATCGTCACCAACCCAGCCAGTAGCTTCCGAGCAACACAGCGGGCAAAAGACGTGCTCATTGTCCTTGTATGCTCCACCCAATCCAAATCATCATGTTGCCGTCCCTCCCAATGTTCAACCAGCACCTCTGCCCTCATGCCATGGTTCACGCTAGCGCAAAAATCGCAAAGTTCGCACAACTTCCCTCGGTCGCTTCTGAACCGTTCGTTTCTCTTGACTGACCACTGCATCAACCCGCCCTGCGCGCGATCGCGTACTCAATCTCAGTAGCCGCCTCGAGTAAAACCTGCACCCGCAACATCTGATTGTCACTCTCCACACGACGCGCTTCAACATGGCTGGCTACGCGGATCCCGACGCGCAGATGGGCGGAGGACCAGGCCAATACGCGAACCAGAACGGCACACCACCAGCGCCCCAACATCAGTTGACGGATCCCGAACTGCGACTGCAAGAGAATTTGCAACAGCTGCGTGAAGGAGGAGACATGATGCATCCGCCTGGCCCCCAGCAACCCCAGTACCAGCAGATGGCGCACATGGGCCCGGCCATGGCTGCGCATCCACACTTTCAGGGCCCGGCCCGTCCAACGCACTCTCCACAGCAAATGGCCCAACACGTCATGAGCCTAGAGGGCCATCACGACCACTTCGACCCCAACGATCCTACCCGCAAGCGTTCAAAGGTCTCACGCGCCTGCGATGAATGCCGTCGAAAGAAGGTGCGCCACTGTCGGTCCGCGCCTTCATAGTTGCTGCTTACGTTGAGTAGATTCGATGTGACGCCACAAGTGAAAACGGCCCCGAGGCGTGCTCTAGTTGCAAGCGGACAGGAGCTCGATGTCAGTTTAGCCGCCAGCCTATGAAGCGTGGCCCTAGCAAAGGGTATGCTGTCCACCACCCCGTCTGTTGGTTGAGCATGCTGACAGTGTCTAGTTACATCAAAGAGCTCGCAGACCGACTCAACTCGCTCGAAAGCCAAATCCATCACCCTCCCAACCCTACGCATACGTTTGATTTTGGATCCATGGGAGACCAGACGTTTCCAGACACACAGAGCCCACCCCAGTTCAAGCGCCAGCGCACCCATTCCATGACCGAGGGCTTCCACGAAGCCTTCAGCCGACCGAATTGGACTGCTCCAGACCGGTCCAACGGCCCCATGGAAACACACGGTTTGTCTGGTCTGGGCGATCAAGAAACATCGCTCAACGACAACCGCGCCACCTCGTTTGGTGATATGAATTTGGGCGGAAGTCTGATCACTGGCTCCAACGAAGAAACCCTCAAGGCGTAGGTGCCGCTCCTTGTGCTCGAAAATGGCCTGTGCTGACCATCTCCAAGCTACTATAACATCATACACCCCACGTTGCCAGTCTTGCCCCACCATGAGTCGCAATTGAATCGGCTTACCAACTGCCCATCAAAGTTGCGAGAGGCTTTTTTCATGACACTGGAAGGTTGCATCCGTTCACTCGCTTCAAAGGCCCTGCCACCTCTCGAGATAAATCTCAACCAGCTGCTCCAACAATGCTTTACTTCGGTTGACGCAGCTAGCTACTGCTTGCATGACTCGGACAGCTCGCGCCAATTCTACAACCACCTGGTGTACTGCCAGTCCCTGATTCTACTTGCTGCCGCCTCTGACCGACCTGGCCCAGCTATTGTTGGAAGCACCACAGGATTGTTGGGCAGAATTTCAGCCTCCATTGCCGACGCTGGTATCAATGATGCGCGGACCTTGACGACGATCAAGGAGCAAGACCTTGAGATGTACCACACAGCGCGACGTGTCTACTGGACTGCCCTAATACTAGACCGATTTCACGCTTCGAGCCGCTCCAAGGATATGATGATTCGACGGTACGGTGGGACTCTTTCCAAGGATGATTATACGGCACTTGGCGAAGTCGGCTACTACCTTGCTCGTTAGTACAGATGCCTTTGTTTATAATCGAACACTATTAACCTTGGAATAGGTGCTGCTCAAATCGTAGGTCGTATAGCGTACGTGAACCGCGCAGGCAGCATACCGAATGTTGACTCTTCATCTCCTTTTGCCTTTTCTGCGCTCAAACCAGGAACTGCCGAATCAGAGTACCTCAATGTGGTGCTGGATGAAATCAAGCAATCCATTGATCTAACCAGCTTGACGCAAAACTCACCTCCTCATCTAGCACATCAGTATCTGCGAGTGTTCATAGCCAGGCTTTCCTTGCAACACATTCCTTCTACAGAGGTTCTTCATGCTACCCAAGAGCTTCTCAACAACCTGAAGAGCGGCGCAATAACTCCATTGCACCACATATTTGCCGCACTAGTAGCAACCTCGCTCACCGAACTATCTGACCGAGTCGAGACACAAGTAGACGCACAATCCAGCATCAAAGAAATGAGCGATGCTCTATCTAATGGCCAGATCATCCATCGCAGCTCTGACGGACTTGGCTGGGAAACCGCCATCAGGGATCTGCTACATCAAAAGAAGGCTTCCACGCCCCCTTTCAACGGTCCAGAACAAGCCAGTCCTCAACTCGAACCCAACATGGCCGGCCTTCAGCACCTCGCCGCAGCTGCAGTAGGCGAGCGTGAAGGAACCGGTGAGACGCGCCCGGGAAGCTCGTCCCAGCAAAAAGTAGACAATGACCTTTCTGCCGCCATGGCTGCCGCCAACGAAGCTGCCAAAGCACAGGCTCAAGCGACTGCTGCTGCAGCCCAAGATCTGTTCCACTAAGGTTTTTATCGTTATGAGCAAGAAGTGGACATTTTCTAAGCTTGACGTTCACGTCCAATATATTATACCCCCCACCCCTCAACGTTTTTTTCTCTCCTCCAAACCTCCTTTGTTGAACAACTATCATGGCAGTAATTATTGCGTCTAGCATGTGGCATGTGTGCAGTGGGGGGATCAATGGGTGGATGGAAGACGAACAAGGCTACGCTTAGGACGATTCTTGTTTCGGTGTGATAGTTGATTCTCTCTATAAAATAAAATAGGATGTTGTGCTAAATTATCAAATGTGCGTGTATGTAATTCTGTTGTTGCGTTTACGATAACCAGCCACATGTCCCCCTGATCCCACTTTGTTTTTTACAATCTCCTGAATTATTTGGTTTGCATCTCTCGTCTCACACATACAACTATCATCATGCTATCCTCCTCTCTCTCTCTCCCTCTCTCACACACACACACACACACACCCCTTTCATTCTCCTATGCCCGCCCCACCTCTCTCACAGCAAGTAACAATAGTCTAACGAAAACATAAAGAAAACTCCCCAACACAAACATGAAAAATGCAAGTGCAACATAACTCAGCACCTCGCGCAACACCCCCAGTATCTTCCTTCTTCTGCTCCTTCCTGCCTCCAGATCCCGCGGCGACGCCGCCACCGCGTCCGTGGGTGTAGGAGAGACGCTGGGTTCGGGTGTGGTGGGTGTTTGTGCTTCGATTGCTGGTGGAAGTGTTGTTGGAGTAGTGGGATATTCCTGTTCTTGCGATGGAGCGTTTGCGTCTGAGGCGGTGTACGCGGGAGGCGGTGGGATAGAAGACTTGGGGGTGTAGGGGGTGCAGGAGGGAGGAGGAGGAGGAGGATGCTGGGGATGTGGGGAGGGGATGGGGTCGAGGTGGATGGGTCGGGAAGACATTGTGGGGAGGGGGTGATGGAGGGTTGGTGGGAAGATGTTTCTGGGGGAGTTTGGAGGGGATGAAGGATGGAGGGATGGAGGGGAGGATGGGGGGTTTTTTTGGAAGAAGGTTGGAAGGTGGTGGGGGAGTTTGGTACGGTAGAGCGAGGGTTGGAGACGGGGGGGGGGGGAGAGGGTATTCTGGGAGGTTGGCTGATAGGGGGCGTGCGAATAATAAGCGCGTATGTCAATTAGGTGGGATGATGGGATAAGGAGGGATAATGAGTTTGGGATGGGCGTTGTGGATTTTCGTGGGTGAGGGATAACTGGGGCAATGAGGAGATGACATGTTGGAATCGCAGTGCATTTTACTGGGCGAAATGATTTATGATAGATGGTATGTTCGCGACAGGGTAACATGGTTCGGCTTTATAAGCCTTCTTTCGTTCCATAGGGTGTGTCGTGATAAAGCTCCTTTGGTGCAGAAGCTCCAGGGGGCGAGAGCTGGATGGTGACGGTGAAGGAGTTGGATGGAAGACTAAGCACAATCTGGCTAAGCTGTCATAGAATGAAGTTTGGTGCAATGATATATCCGGCAATATCATTCTTGAATGTGCAGATGAAAGTTACGGTAGAGCTGCGAGAGGGCTGTAGAGAGAATTTATCACTTTTGTCCGCTGAGACGCTCTATCAAGCTTCACTGCTCCTTCATAGAATGATGCTGTCTAGTGGGACTGAGAATGATGAGGACGTAAGGGTGGAAATATTGCAAAACACTTTTTTGATATCTGAAGCATCACTCTTCGCATTTCAGTCCAACTACAGTGTGACACAGCATGATGAGATACCACACTGACAAACAACCATGTATGCTATCAAGAAGAGATCTTGCTCAAAAAATCTACAAAGAATTTAGAGCATTAGAAACTGTGCGTAAATACATTTCGTAGTCAAGCATTAACTACTGATCACACTTTCGTTTTTGTATTGGTGTTCCTAAGACATCAAGTGCAGTTTGGAGATGCTCAATCCGCCAACTCTGAAAAAAATGTTTCGTGAATGCGCATTGGGTGTTGGGCCTGACTTGGAATATATTTCCCAAGTATCAAGGAGAGTAATTGAATACTTGGCTAAAAGCAATGTTCGCGATATCACTGTTAAAAGGATACTGACTTGCTTGATCTTTGTGTCATGCAGGCAAGGTTGCTTTTGTCTGTATTGACCGGAGACACAACAGCATTATGTAATGAGCAATGCCTCATTTCGGAAACGATGTACTTGGTTCCATGGGTTCTTCATCAAAGGCGATTATTTTATTCGGAACACAACCAAGTACTTGGCTCGCCATGCAAAAATGCCTCCACATACTCTAATGGTCAAGACCAGATACAGGTTACCACCGATATCCTGATCATGTGCACATGCTACCAACACAACCCATCCATCAACTGTCTGCCCCGTCCCTCTCTCTGAACAAGGCGCCAAAGGTTGAGGTGTCGATCGCCATGGGATTCGCCCAAATGCGATACGCGTCAGCGCCAAGGAGATGGTGCCGATTGCCGCCCCCTTAGCCGCTTCCGTCGCTCTGGCTGGCCAAGAACCAGGCATCCAGAAACAAGAATGTCTAGAAAGCCTGTGACAGCGGCGAGGAACTTCCACCCGTCTGCGTCCCTGAATTTGCTGCCCTGGGTGCAGCTGCAGACGTGACTTTGACAGTCGTGAATTGATTTCTTTCTTCTTCACAGCACCCTTCACACTCTTTTGTAAACCCCATACGTTTGCCTAGCATGGCAGTACGTCCTCTTAACTCGAGTCTCATCTTCGACCGGCGCGTTATCCTTGGTCTCGCTGCTGCCATTGTCCTCGCCTTCACGTTCGCCTTCCTCTACTCGCCCGACCTGCGACCCAGCTCCGAATGGATACCACCGTTAACATCGAAGCCTACAGCCCCTCCCTTCTCTGCGCCGTTGAAGAACACCGAAGATCCGTACATTGTCGAGCTAGACTACCTGGCCATTAAGCCCAACACTACAGACAAGGTCCGTTCCTACTGGAACATTCCCTATGCTGCAGATGCTGGAGGCAAGAACCGTTTCCGTGGACCGCAACCCGTGAACAGAACATATGGCATTGGTCGCGCAGAGAAGCCCTTGGTTTGGGATGGCTCGCTGGGCATGTGCCCGAGGATACAGAAGATCAACCCAGCAGAGAGGAACAGGAAGGACATTTCAGGGCCCGATGTCCTGGGTATCAAGACCCGGTCCACAGAGGATTGCTTGAGTCTCAATGTCTTCACGCCAATCGATGCTGAGGCCGGCGACGATCTCCCTGTCTTGGTCAACATTCCCGGTGGTGGCTTCCATCTTCCCGGACGCAGCAATGGAGGCGAAATGGTCGAGAAGGCTCGTCGTGAAAAAGGCGTAGACGGCAAGCTGGACAAAGGTATCGTTGTAGTGACCATGTACTACCGCAACGGCATTTACGGCTTTCTTTCCGGAAAAGAGATTGCGCAGGATGGCGATTACAATAACGGATTGCGCGACCAGAGGGCGGCGTTGGAATGGGTACAAAAGTACATTCGTTACTTTGGCGGCAATCCTGATCACGTAGTCATAATGGGCACCAGTGCGGGCGGCGCATCAGTCATGCTCCACCTGACTGCCAACGAGGGCGACAACTACTACAATGTCCCTGGCACCGGCCGCAAGCGACTCTTCCACGGAGCCATCGCTCAGTCTCCCGCGAGCCCAACCTTCTTCACACCCGACCAGGCTGAGAAGTTTTGGAACGAGGTTGCAGATGGACTGAACTGCACAGATATTGCTTGCGTTCGCAATGCCGAGACTGGCGACCTGTATTACGAAAACTACCCTATGTCCTTCCCCGGCCGGAATACTCCACCCCGCTGGATGTGGGCCCCAACGACCGAGCCCGAAGGCGGCATGTTCACCCAGCCCGCCCCTGCCGCTATACTGTCCAACAAATACGCCAAAGTCCCTACGATTATCGGCTTCACCTCCAACGAAGGCTCCGACCAAGTCAAAAAAACGACCGACAATGAAGGAGAATTCAAATCCTACCTCAAGGACCACTACCCTCTGCTTACAGACGAAGATCTCGAAACACTAAAGAAGACGTACCCCAACGACCGCCACTGGCCCGACAGCGGCAAATGGTGGGACGCCGTCGCCAAAGCACAAGGCGACATCCGCTATATCTGCCCGACCTACCTCGCCTCCAACGCCATCTCGCGCTTCAACCCGTCCGACGTCCCCACCTACCAGTACCAATGGGACGTCATGTGGGGCGTCGACATCGAGAACGGCTTTGGCACCAAACACGCCGGCACCGTCGGCCAAGTCATGGTCCGCCGCCAAAACGAAATCTCAGACTACTTCATCTCATTCATCAAGTTCCTCGATCCGAACCGCGAGCACCAGGTTATTCCCCGCAAGGATGTCAGCATTGCCAAGTGGGAACCCCTCGATGAGACGGGCCGACGCATGTTTTTTACGAATATCAAGGAGGGCGGACATCGCGGGGATGGAACGAATATGCTGGGCAAGATGAGGACGGAGATGAGGGGGAGGGATGACGAGAGGGATAGGAATTGTGGGACTATCAGGAGTATGTTTAGGCGGTTGCAGTTTGAAGGAGTTGATGCGGTTACGCTGGATTGAGAGTGCTGCTTCCGCTTTGTTACATCTCAGAGCCTGTTGAAGGGCTTTTTTTTGGATGGTGTTCATGGAGTCGATGTGTTGGCATCACAAAAGCTGTGTTGTTCCAACACTTTCTTTTTCAGCTTTTGTTACATCTAATGTATGAGTAGCCATGTCTTTTTTTTTCACTGCTCGTTTTACGTTTAAATCAACAGAGGAGTAAAAAAAGTTCGACTACATATTCTGAGGAAATCCTTGTGAATTTACACTACACATTACTAAACTATGCATCTATCCCCAACCCGCTCAAGATGAAAAAAACAAAACAAAAATAAGTAACGCACGCTTCCAACCAAAAAAAAAAAATCACCAAAACTCCTTTTCCCCTTCTCTCACATAAATGTACACTACCATCTGAGTACTAGTCCGTCACGTTCCCAAACATGCTACTGTACTATCCCCGAACGGCGACCCCACTTGGCGTCCGTGGGATCCCGCACTCAAAAAGCTTCAACTCCCCCCCCTTCCCCACTTGAAATCTCAAATATACGCATCAAAAGCTCACTACTTGCTTCTCACATGCGCGAGCAAATCCTCGATATCGCCGTGGCTCAAACTAGCATCCTGCATACTCATACCGAGCCGTTCCTCCTTCTCCTTGTTCCTGATGTCCTCTCTTTTCCCCGCTAGCTCCAGCTGTGGATCCAGAGTTGGCGAACTATTCTCATGCTGCATGTTCTTCAGGTCGCCTCGTTCGATGCCCGAAGCGTCTGGATTGGTTTCGTCTGTCGGTATGCTTGTTTTGCGCGCATGCTCGATCAAGTCTTGGATGTCTCGGTGGGATAGGCTTCCTTTATCCAGACTCATGCCGACGGCCTGTTTCTTTTCGTCCTGCGCGCTGTCCGGAATCCCGGTCGGGGTTTGCGCTTGGGAAAGGGGAGTGTCGTAGCGTTTTAGGTTTTTGCTGCTTACCCAACGGACGAGCTCGTCGACGTCGGAGGATGAAAGGTGGGTTTTCTCTTGAGTAGGTGGCTCAGGTAATTCGCGGCTTCGAGGTCGGCCTCGATTTTCTTCTTCGTCTTCTATCTGCTGCTGGTCAAAGGTGTCTTTGATTGGAGTCGTGGCTCCTGATTCTCCACTGGTAGCATCGTGGCGTTTGTACCATCGGCCTAGTTCTGGGATGTCCGAGTCATAGTGCTCTTCCACGTCGGAGTCCAGCTCTTCTCGTTGCAGATTTCGCCTTACTGGGCCGGCTTTGGATCTGTCACGACGCGATATCCAGCGTACAAGGTCATCTGCATCCTCTTCCTCATCTGACGAAAGATCGGTATCGGGCTCTGTGGCCGCGTCGCTATATCCTAGGTGTTCATTGCTGACTTCTTGGACATCTTTAGCGGACGATTTCCTTGTTACATGGCGAACGAGATCTTCAATATCGGAATGACCAAGGCCGTCCTGGCCATTGTCGTCCTTGACGCTCTCTGCAGTGTCATCTTTCTGCACCTTTCTCTCATTAGACGAACTGCGCTGGCTAACCCATCGAACAAGGTCATTGATATCGGTATCCTTGATGCTGGCGTCATCGTTTTCGTTTTCTTTCTTTGATTTTGGTTGTTTCTCTTCGTTTTCCGAGGAAAGAGTCGACGGGCGATCCTTGAATTCAACTGGCGCCCCATCCTCCTTGATCTTCTCCATCCCCCCTGCATCCCTGGTTGTCATTCTCCGCAACGTCATCTTAAGCCTACTTCCAATCCCACTCTTCGCCTGCGCATGTTTTTCGGGCGTTGTTGGATGATGCATCTGACGCTCTTTGTGTTGATTTTGCCACGTCTCCGCAGCACTGAGCTCCTTGCAATCTTCTTGTGTAGCCGTCCTTAACCGGTCTTCAATCTTCTGTTGGAAAAGGATACTTCGGAGAGAATGAAAGCGGGCCATGTGCGGTTGTTTATTTTTAGGTCTATCGGAACTGGCTCCATTGGCATCTGCAGATGACGGCGTACTGGAAACTTTTCTGGTTGCTGACCTGGAGCGACTTCTGCTTCTGTTCGGGGAGAGAGAGGATGGCCGAGGTGCTTGAGCTGAGTTGAGCTTTTGTTTCTTCTGCTGTATCTTCTGGGCGCTGACATCCTTCTTAGACTGCGACTTGGGATGTCCCTTCTCTTGATCGTCTGATAGGTCAGAGTCTTCGTCGCTGCTACTCGAGTGGTCATCTCCTAGTCCTTCAAGGATCTGAGCGACGGCTGGGGACATCAGGCTGCTAGTGCGGCCCAACTGTTTCCGTTGTTCTTGAGGCATCTGGTCTATACACGCTGATGGTGCCACTTTCTGTGGCGGGAGATCAAAGTATGACGCCATGACTTTTGGTTCCGCAGTGACGAGTGCTGTGTGATTGAAGGAGAGCTACTACGCGCCTGTAATGATTAACAGATAGCGGGATCAAGTATGAGAGGCAATCAAGCTGGGATGCTTGGGTCTTGGAGAAAAGTCGCGTGTGTAGGTTGGACTAGCCTGTTATTGCATACCCCTACCCCGCAATTCCCTTGTCTGATTGTCGCTGGTTGGTCGATCGGGCTATACCAGCAGGATTGGGGAAGTCCCGATCGGCGATAATCGCTTGGGCGACATCACCGTGACAAGGCTCGGGTCTCAAAGTTACGGTTTGTATGCATGAGTGTTGGTACAGCCATGGAGTTCGGAGAATTTATTGCTGGACTGTGATAGGCCGTTTGTCGCTGACAGGCCCTGACGTGAGACAGACCGGCAAAAACGGGCCTGCAAGCTGATTACTTATCCTGTGTTGTATTTTATGGCCAAGCGGCCATCGGCAATATAGCATTGTGGCTGTGAGTCTAGTGTCTTCGAGAATTATCCATCGGACAGGGATGCGTATTGGAGGGATGCTCATGGCAATGGCGATGATATTGACACCTGCATACATACACAAGGAATATCCCAAATCGCCGTGGCGAATTCCGAATAACCTTGTACTTCTTCACGTCTCCCAAACACTTCATGAATGCCTCATACGCTTCTGGCTGGCGTCTGCGCCATTGAACGCCAATAGGTTTGGTGTTCCTTTTGGAAGCGTATCTTGATCGATCGCATTTTTGATCGCCAAGGCAGCGATTGTACCACAGAGATCCTTTGCTGGTGACCCGAGTCCAAGCAAATACGCTGCAAGGCCAACAACATGCGGAGCTGCCATACTTGTACCCGAAAACGAGGCAACCACACCATTGGGAAGAGTGCTAGTGATGTCTAGGCCGGGAGCTAGAATGTCGATCCGAGAACCATGATTGGACCATTGGGCAAGTGTATCATTCGCTGCCGTTGCTCCTACAGTGCAGACCGAAGGCTCGGATCCCGGAGAGAAGTCATCAGCTGGCACACCATCGTTACCTGCTGCAACTCCTAGAAAGATATCCTCTGCAACCATAGCTGCGACCTTACATCTAAATCAGCGTTCAGACAAGAAAACTTGACAAGAGCTACTTACAGCATCATTCAAAGCTGGAAGCTTTTCACTTCCCAGGCTGATATTGACAACAAAGCCATTGCGACACTGATCCGTCCCCCTACGCTCTCTTGCATCTCGCAAGATCAACTCCAGGCCCGCAATCACATCAGCGTTTGTACCCCAGCCATTGGAGTCGAGTACTCGCACAGCAAAGATGGTAGTTTTCTTTGCTACTCCCCAAGTGGCAGACCCAATTGTTCCAGCGACGTGCGTTCCATGACCATACCCGTCTATAAAATTACCTTCATGAGTGAGGTCTGCCAGGAATAAAGCGCCTGTTACTGGGTCAGTCTGCAAGTCTTGCATTTGAGCGTCATTACTTACGTCCTTGAAACTCGGGGTGCGTAACATCGACTCCTGTATCAATCACATAGCTTCACATTTCGTCAGTGATACACAGAGAACGTCTGGCGGCAGATAAAAACATACGCACACGTTCCCTCTCCTGCACTGGAATCATAGAGATACGCCGTTTCACTTGGCTTTGTATGCGAGATACGGGATATTCCCCACGTGGCATTCGACTGTTCGATAATTGCCGTCGTGTAAACTTCAGCATCTTGCTGGATATACTCAATCTACACAAATCAACAAAGGGGCTTTCGGACTTGTGCTGCAAATGCCTTACTTGATCTGAAGCTTGCAACAGTGCTACCTCATCGTCGGATAGAGTTCCTGCGAAGCCTCGGAAGCCAGGCATCGAATACTGGTAATCGGGCTTTGTGGAAATAGCTGCTTTCACGCCATCAGCGGCCATCGTGGCGACGTTGTCCTTGAGTTTGACAATCCACTTGTTGGCAATGGCCTTGCTACCGGGTGCTTTGACTAATGGTGTAGCGGTTACAAGTGAAGCAAGCAAGGATAGCAGAATGAAGTACATTATTGCAGTAAGAATCTTTCGAGGTTTGCTGAATGACAGTACGTTGAGTTTTAGCAAAGTAAGGGAGTGAACAATATTGCAAGCTCTGATTTACCTCCTTGGAAGGCAGCGCTACTGATAAATATACATGTTGTACGGGTCGCTGTTGACTAAAGGGGGACAGTTTCTCTGGCACTCAAGCACGTAGTCCGTGAGAGTCAAGTATTAGGATCGTACGTATGCAGTGCAACCTTACTTGGGCCAATGTCTTAAGCCGTATCTGCTGCAGTGTTTCTTTCAGGGCGGACCAAAACGGCGTGGCATGTTGGTGACAGTGGGACTGCTGGAATAAGACTTCATAGTACCGCCTTGTGCTCTTAATCCTTCTTGGGTTGCAAAAGACTTGATATCATTAAAATAGTCCGAAGCTTTAGATAGAGCGGCAAAAGCTATCTTCCAACATGTGAGGTATCTACAGTGCACGAAAAGGGGGTAAACCATGACCACAAACAAGTGATATCGATTGGCAAGTTCAACGGACACGTGCAGATGCGGCACAACCTATCTGTGGCTGCGGCAGAGTAAAACCGCCTGACCCGCTACACAAATACCGTATCATTGCTTCCCAATATACGTATCATAGAA